GTTACACAGTGGAATTTTCCTTTTGCTGTCACTTTATATCAAACGAGTGCAACTAAAGTCATGTGATCTATAACTAGTCGACACAGCCCTGGCACGTCGACTACTGCCAGAACTAATCGACTAGTTTAGTGCCACCCCTAACATATGGTGATCAAAGCAGGAATATGAATTTTGACAATTTTGAAAAATTAAGGAAAATCTCTTTCTGTGTGGGAGTTTGCAGACACAAAGACTGGCGTCGTGCCACTTACCTGTCAGGTCTCACCCACTCAGGTGCCAAACTCCTCGCGCTCATTTGCATTACTGAGCAGCGTGTGTGTTCGACGCCACCCATTCCGCTTCAACAAACCTCTCGTAAATGACACAGGATTCATGTGTATGTTGCTAAATAAATCCTGACAGGTGGATCAGGATCCTGATGCAAATTGGCTACTTATTTGTTTATAAATAAATAAATGAACATTAAATATTGATTTTTAGCTTAAATCATTTTTTATTTGAGCAAAAAGAGACTGCAGAGTGGTTTGAGAGACCACTCTGATTTTTCAAAGTTGTAAATAAGATTACTGGAGTGTGTTTCACACAATTTGTCTAATTGAATGTGCTACTTCTCATTTATTTATATATTCATTTATTCATTTATGTGAAATATTTAATTTCTGAATGAAAATTGTTTTGAAGTAAATCCTATGCCATTTTTTGAGTGTGAAATAGGAAGTCATAAATAGGGTCAATTACACTGAAAAAAAATTGGTGTTGGATTCTATTTATAATTATTTAGGTATACAGTGTATACCCTTTATTTCTTATTATGCAAAAAAAATATCGATCTCAGAACACTGTTTGACAAATCATAATCAAGAATCAGGGTTATTACAGTTACTAAAATTACTAACCATTAAATCCAAAACCTGAAATTAAAACCATTAAAAGATTTTGTTTTGATACTTGAAATAAATTAAATGTAAAAAAAACAAAAAAACAAACACGTTTTATTTCAGCTATTTTCCAGCACAACATTCGTAATTTTCATTTAGTTTAACTTAATGTACGTAAATAAATAAAACCTTAAAATAAATAACATTTTATAGATGTATACTATATAAATAAAACTACTAAAAATGACTCAGCAAAATGACTAAAACTTCAACCAAAATTAAAAAGAAAATGGAAAATTACAATGGAAATAGAAATGTTTAATAATTCAAAATATTAAATTATACTAAATTAGCACTGAGAGAACCTTGAGAACCTTCTAATAAAAAGTGCTGGAAACATCTAGCAAACAGTTTCTCTTATACATACATCTTAATACCCTTAATACCCATCTGCTGAAAATCTGCAGAAATGATCTCCCGTGGCTCCACTCTGTGGGTTTGACATGTTTTGTTCGGCTTGCACATTGCATACAATTCTGATGCAACCCGCTGTAAACGCTCAAATCTTTTCACTGTGTGTGTGTGTGTGTGTGTGTGTGTGTGTGTGTGTATATGTGTCTGTGCCTGTTGTCTTGTTGTGTGTCGTGTGCCTCTCTGTCTGTTTCCAGAGCTCACACAACACTGACAAGCAGCAGATCACTAAGTGAAACAAAACACTCTTTAATAATTCAGACAACCCCCTCCCTCTCTCTCTCTCTCACACACTCACACTCACACTCACACACACAAACACACAAATCCCTTTAAGTCTCCAAGCGTTTGGATCTCTGACGGGAGGCTGCTCTTTTAGTCTCGTCTTGTCTTTTATCTGCTCACACACTCTCGGATGAAACCAGAAACATGGTAGAAGAGCGTGTGGGAGTTCATCTACACACACTGTTCTTCCCTCAATTTTAGATACCAGGTCCATTGAATTCCGGTTTAAACTTCTCCCAACATAGATTTTTTTTTTTTTGCCTAATTGGCTCCTATTTGAACGTAATCGTCATTTGGCTTGACATGGATCCCTGTAATCTAGATCTGAATGTCCATCTTCCCTTTATGAGGAAGATGAAGGCATTTTTCCTCCATTAACTCTACACAGGATCGCAGTTTTCCTCTCAATGCGCTGATTGTTTTCCGAAATATAATTGCTGTTATCATATGACTCTGCACATGCATAATACTAGCGCAATAAAATATTCATGAGCGTATCGCGTGCGCCGGCCAAAGCTGCACGGGGTAACCCGAAACTCTGGGGGATGCTGGGTAATGGGGCAGAGGAGCGTAATCAGGTTGCGTTACACAACCAGGTTTCATGGGCGACCGCAGACGATATCAAAGGGAAGGAGGTGAAGTGTGTGTGAATGTGTGTATCGTCGGACAGGTGGAGCTGTCAGCTGTGTGTTTGATTAATGAAGGGCTGGAGATGTTTAAGCGAGCATATTGGACATGCACTGTTATGTTTTTGCTTTTGGTACGTAGTTATTCCACAAAAAGTCTCCCACAATTCCATACTAGGACCATTCAGCACAACTTCTTTTTCCCCCACTCAGCTTTTCGCTTAAAACTAGCTGAGACTAACCCCGACATCTGTTCAAACATGTCTGAAATTATTTAAAACAACAAACCCTGCCGTACTTTTCATTATTTGAGCAACAACTGTCGTTTTTTGAACCAGGGCAAATTCATTATAGGGTTTCTTCTCACTTCTCCCTCTGCCTACAGTTGTTATCCTTGTAATCGCTTTTGCCAAAACATTCACTTTATTTTAATTAAATTCATAAGTCGACACAGCTTTATCTCTCTCAGCGGTCGAGTTCGGAAACCAGATGTCACGCCGCTGTCACCGTTTTCTCTTGCTCTTTTCCGGACACTGAATAAAAAAAAAAAGCTTCTAAAATCGTTAAGGCACTTAAAGACTTCAAACAAACTACAAAGGGAGAAAAGATGTGGGAGATGTGGCTGAAGGAAAGATTTTTAGTCTGTTAATTTTGTTTGGTTTATAATAAATGTGGGTACAGATATTTTTAATAACTAAAAAAATAGGTGATTTCCATTACATTTTCAGTTATTTTCAAATGTCTTGAAACATGAATAATAATTAATAATAATAAAAAAATATATAGCTATATTATATAAATGATACAGAGTAATACATTTAATGGAAGAAGGAAAGATTTTTGGTCTGCTAATTTCGTTAGGTTTTTAATGTAGTCATAGTCATTTTTGATAACTAAAAATGAGTGAATTTTATTATTTTCAGTGATTTTCAAATGTCTTGAAGCATGAATAATTAATAATAATAACAATTAAAATATGTAATATAATACGCTGTAAGTGGTTTATAATGGCTTATTTTTACTTTAGTTACAGAGGTTATTTTCATTATTTGTCATTATAAATGTCTTGAAACATGAATAATAAATTATAAAAAAACAACAAAAATATAGTATTTTTTAT